CTGCTGAAGCCTTAAGCATTTTCCCTTTTTCCCCACTTACTTAAAAAAAAGAAAGAAAAATTAGGACCTTTCTGTTGGACAGGTACAAGGGCAGCAGAATAGTGCCATTCCTATTTTTTTAAGAAAATAGATCTGCTTTCAGAAGAGAATAGAAATGGGCTTAAGGTGCAAAATCCAGACCATCTTTCAGGTTTGAATTTTGACCTGTCCCAAAGGTCTGTGGTGTTTGGCTGCGTGATTTGGGGTAGAACACCTCTGTTCAAAAAGGACAGGGCAAAGTACTGCAGAGAAGGGGTTCTTCTCAGTTCTTTCTGGCTAAAGGATGTTGTCTGCCAAGGTTGGACTGCATCCAGTCAGGGATTCTGCATGTTAGGCAGACTAAGGAGATTTATTTGCAAATAGACAATGCAGACTTCTGTGTTGTGGCAAGCTGCTGGCAGCAGCTCTACATCCAGCACAAAGAACTAATAGTTCCTAGTAGCTCAGCAGGCTAGAAAACAACTTTATTTGATTTGGACTCTCACATTTTCTTCAGCAAATCAAGTGATTAGAAGGTGAACAGGGAATCGGGAAAAGTGGTTGATACAGTCACTTAGGATATGTCTCCACTGTAGTCCAAAGGTGCAGACATATTCAACCTTGCTTTTAACTAGTGATCTTGGGTACCAACAGCAGAGTAGTGACAGCAGCATTAGCTTGGTGTGGGCTTCAGAGGCCTCCCAGGATGCTGGTAAATACCTGCATGGCTAGCTCATGATAAGCCACCTGCTACTGCAGCTACCCTGCTCAATATCTGAGCTTCATGGGTATATCCCCATGAACTTCACTAAGATCATCAGATGGCAGCTTAGACATACCCATAATCTCCCTGTATCTCACTTTACACATCTGTGTAGTAGAAATTCTTACATAAGAAGTGCCATACTGGGTCAGACCAATGGTCCATCTCACCCAGTATCCTGTCTCCAACAGTGGCAGGGGTGGATACTATAGAGGTAGAGCAGTGAACTGGATATTTCGAGAGTGAACTATGCCCTATTCCTTTCCTGACATCCACTGTTATTTACATCTGCAAGGCAATTTGAAGTAAAAAGGTCTGCTGTGGACATGTGGGATTGAAAGTTGCTGATCCCTCACCAGACTTCAAAATGACATGCAAGGGACTGCTTTGAAAGGGATCGTGCTTTTGTATTCTTTATGATTTCTAAAAAAATCCTGAATTTTTCCTTTTTCATTCTGCTTCTTTTTTATCTCGTTTTGCTGGAGGAGATATTCAATGCCTTCATTGAAAGGATTTGGGCACTGAATTAAAAAAGGGACATTCTTTATTCAAAATATTAATTAGTCAGTGCAGCTAAATAGGGTTAAGGGGGAAAAAAAGCCTGAAAAAAAAATCCCACTCCACTTTCAAATATGTAGCTTGTACTGCTCCTGTTGTTATAGTGCTGCCATTTTGCTACTTCTCTAGTCACCTTGGAGTCTCCAGGCTAGACAGGTTCTGCATCTGTAATAGAAAAAAAATATCACATCATATCATATATTTCTGGGATGTAGCCCCCTCCCATATACCTTAGACATTAGGTGGTCCTGATACCTGCCAGCCAGCCCTTGTGCCCACATGGAGATCCACTGATGTCAGTGGTGGGGGCCTGCCATGAGGTTTGTCTTCCTGGATTGGTGCCTGAAGAAGCAAAAGAGGGTACAACTCGTGTGTTTAAAAGCTTCCAGGCAGGTCACCTTTAAACAGGGTTGGAATGTAGAAAACACTTGGGGAAGGTTCAAAGAACAGTTCAGTCAATACATGAGGTTTAACCATGATAGGAACATGATCACCATCAGTAGTTGTCTGTCTTAAAAAAAACAACAAAAACCAAACCATGTAAGGGCAATCACAGCCAACAAGCACTGCACCATGAGCCTCCCAAGGGGAGCAAATCCAACTGCGCACAGTTCAGTCTGACAGCTTCCTTTTTACATGTTGAAAGCACAAATCCTGAGAGTGGTCTCCTCCATTACTGTCATGTTATGAGATACTATAATAGTCAAAATATTCCATTAGCTTATTCTGGTAGCCAGGAGCCCCCCAAGAAATATGTGACACCACTGTGCTAGAATAAAGTTGGTTAGCAATTAAGCTGATGCCCAAATAATGGAAAAGTAGCATCTGTAGGAGAGATGACAAACTGCAGTAGACAGATTACTCAGTGGGAAGCAATACAACCAATTTTCTTCAAGTGATTACATCGGTAGCTCTCAGATGCTGCTTCACACTCCAGTTGAGTAACAAGTGGGACACACCTGAGAGAGCAATTACCAAAAAAAAAATAAAAAAATCTGTTTTTAGCTTTCTCTCTAAAGATTTTACTTTTCAGGTTGCCTGCTTCCTGGGCTTTCTCTTCACACACACATCTGTCTGTGGAGGTCTAAGTGGCCTCCTGTTTGAGTTGAGGCATGGAGCTTTTGCTGTCCTGTGCATCTGTGTATATCCATCTGCTTCGTCCTAACCACACAGCCAAACAGCAAGGGAGCCATGCACTTCCCAGTTAGTCCAGGCAATAGGAAGCATTGAGCACTGGGCAGTGAGTCATGCTTATTTGCTGGAGGAAGAGAAGGCCACCTTTACTATGAAATATTTAGACTGAGGAGCAAGTGTCCCAAAGACATTCCTGACCCATGCCTTTCCATTGTGGGAATGGCCGCCCTTAACTAAGATGTCCAACATTTCAGCACCAAAACTTGAGATGTAGTTGGGGATAGTCTGGAGATCCAAGGCCCACTACAGACTTCAGGACCAGAAGTAGTGTAATCAGAAGCAGAAATAGTTTAATGTAGCTGCCTTAGCATGGTAATGTGAGCAAGTTATTTAATATTGCTAGAGATAGAATTGTATCAAAGGTGCCCCAATGGTCGGTGCAGCCTCAGGACTGACTGAGAGATGGAATTAATTAGTGCTACATGAACATGGCTATACCCTTGCAATACAGCCAGTTAGTAAGTAGCAGAGTTCATTTGCATGTATGGAGCAACATTCTAGCATGACGCTGCCTGACGCTGGGGAAACACGCAGAACACAGTATCCAGATTTGGGGCAGAACAGAACTACCATTTCAGGCACTCTTATGAGATACAGACTTGAACTCTGGGCCACTCCTGAAATATTTAGGATGGCTGGTCAGCTTACAAATAACAGCTGATTGTCCCTCTTATACTAAAATGCCTGCCCAAGGACTAGTGGAAAAGTGTCATAATGGGTGGGTTTATCACAGGGATAAAAAAAGATAGGCAACAATTACAGATAATCAAACTCCCTAGACAACTATTTATTCTTCCCTGACAGCTGGCAGAACTGATTGCAGTGCCCCCAGACAAGAGCCAAAACCCTGCCCAACTGATTTATTCGCCCACCCCCACTGCAGCCACTTCCCCTGTCCCCAGAGACAGGCTGAGTCATGGGTAGTGTGTATGCAAACAAGTCATGCATTTGAGAGGAATCCAGTAGGATTTGAGAGTGATTATGCCCCTGCTGTAGGACCCCAAGGTAAGCTCTTTAGAAAAATCACCCTTCTCTTGGGCACTTCAATGGAAGTTCATTGCTCTCAGTTAGCAAACTTGTGCTAGTTATTATTAATGGTCTGGTGAGATGTGTGCATAAAGCATAACTAACATTTACCAATTGCCTCTGTTTCATCCCCACTTCTCCCCGCCCCCCACTTTACCTGTGTGGCTCTGGTGCTTTCCTCTCTTCCAGTTATCCTTTGTGTCCCTTGTATCCAAGCAGTGTGGGCCTGTGTGCGCTCCTGCCCCACCAACTGCATGTGTACCCAGGAGCGGAGCTGCTCTGTCCTGTGCGATCGTGCCGGCCTTGTTCAGATCCCCAGTGAGTTCCCCTGTGAAGCATCCTCTATCAACCTGGATAAAAACAGTATTAAATTGCTCTCAGAGAGAGCTTTCGGCACCCTGCCTTCCCTCAAATCCCTGTCGCTCAACCACAATAATATTTCTTTCATCACTCCTGGAGCTTTCAAGGGGCTGCCCAGCTTGACTGAGCTTAAAATGGCCCACAACGAATACATCCGCTACCTGCACACTCGGACGTTCACCCCTCTCAAAAGGCTCATCAAACTGGACCTGGCTGACTGCAATCTGTTCAACATCCCGGATAGGATTTTTATAGAGCTCCCAGCCCTGCAGGAGCTCTTCTGTTTTCAGAACAATTTCAGAAGGATCCCAGGGGCTATAAGGGGCATGGAGAATTTGACCCACATTTACTTAGAGAGAAACAGGATAGAAGCTGTAGCCTATAATTCTCTACAGGGCTTGACCAGGCTGAAGTATCTTAATCTCCAGGACAACAGAATAAATGTTATTCATGACCGAGCCTTTCAGGATTGCCAGAAAATGGAATACCTTTACCTGAATGACAACTTACTTAGTGACTTCCCAGAAAACTCCTTCAGTGGGCTGAGGCATCTGAAAATGCTCAGTCTTGGTGGGAATTTTCTCAGGAATGTGTCCCACACCTGGTTCCAGGATCTGGTTGAGCTGGAAATTCTCCACTTGGACAGAAACAGGATCAGCTACATCGAAGAAGGAGCTTTTGAAAACCTAACCAGTCTCATCTCGCTGCATTTGAACAGCAATGACCTGACCACCCTGCCTTTCTCTGTCTTCCAGCCAGTCTATTTCCTGGGCAGGCTCTATCTTTTCCGGAACCCTTGGGAGTGTGACTGCAGGCTTGAATGGCTGAAAGAGTGGATGGAGAACTACAGACTCGTCAGGGATATTCCTTGTGCCTCCCCATCTTCAGTAGCTGGGATTGACTTGATGGATGTACTTTTTGACAGATCACCAGAAGGCTACTGTCTAGACCCAGTGGAGTTAAATGTCACTTCCTACAGTCCCACCCCAACGGAGGAGCCTCACTCTACCACAGAAAGCAAGTTCAGCAGCCTTATCTCTAAGCTTCTGCTCCAGGAAGGGCCTCCTGGGGAGGTGTCGAACACCACTGAAGTGTTCACCAACACCACCCAGTTGGATGGATTGGCTGATGGGGTTTCCTCAGGGGTAGGAGGATACCATACTACATCTATCACCTATTTTTTTCAGCTTCTGCCACTCACTGCAGCTCAAGCAGTGATTGTTCTGCAGGCTAAATAACCCCCAAGTCCCTTGGACACAGTGCTATGTAGGAAGTCTGTAGCATGTAGCTACTAGAGAAGAGTTTCTGCTGCTGGGTTTGGATGTGGATTTGGCCCCACATCTTCCTCACAGTTCAAGGGCTGCTTGGATTTGAGGTTTTGGCATGGGTCTCTCCTGGGGAGCTGTACAATCTTCTTGAGGCAGGGTATTTCTCTTAAATATCTGAAAGCCCCATGTCCACTGTCAGAGCTCAATAGCAAAGAGTTTGTGCACACAGGCATCTTTGGACCAGTTGATTTCCTCTTCCAGCTGTGAATTGGAAGAGTCTCCTTATCAAGATAAACCTGAATCGTTTATTCATGTAGGACCATTCCTGGTGTCATGGACATTCAGGGATGAATTTCCATTGGCATTCATGGAAGTAGGACTGGGCTGTAAAATATGAACCTCTTCTGTAGATCATTAGGGCCTGATCCTCTGCTTGTGATGTGTGACACTGGTGCAGTTCTACTCACCACAGTGGAGCTACATAGCGATGAGAAGTAAACAGCTTGGGAGCCTGTGCTAAAATCTATGGCTTATTATCCACTTGGAAATTGCAGTTGGGAAGAAAACAATGCTTTTGATGGGGCCGCAGTCAGGAGTTTCTCATCAGTGCTTTAGATCAGGGTTGCCCATGGGGTTAAATTGCAGCAGGTGTTGCCAGCACAGCTGCTGGTGTTGCTCCATTGGTGTGGCTCTAGAATCCAGAGGGTGAATGCTGCTGCTGCTTGCCCCACAAACCCTTTGCTCACTACTGAATTTGTAGGGTCTTTGGTCTGCATTAGTGACTAAAACTGGTGGCAGGAGAAGGGCGGGGCAGCAGTGACGTTCACCCTGCTGGATTCTGGAGCTGTGCTAATGCAGCAGCTCTGGCAGTTGTGCTGCAAAGCTGGTGCCCTGATGCTGGAGCTGCAAGGAGCTATGTGGTCCAGATCCGACAGGCAGGGCCACATGAGTTGGACACCCCTAACCAGCTCATGTACAGGAAATCCATCCACAAAGTTTTCATGAAGACAGTTTTCTGTCAGAAACTGTCATTTCAACAAAATTGATATTTTTGCTAAATTGTATTTAGACATGAGTTCCCACAAAAAAAGAAGTGTAGCCCAGGTGTATCCAGGGTATGTACTCCCCTTTCTGATGGAAGGAGATTGTCAGTAGGTAGAGGTGCTGTGGGAGAGAACTGCAAGCTAAGTGCAGTCTCCCTGCTCCCTACAGAGCCAGGTCAGGCCAGGCCAATATTAAACAATATACACATTTATTAATATTTACATAAATGCATAAAAATAGACATAAATATAAACATAGGTACAGATATACATGTATAACAGTATATATACTCGGATATATATATATATATTACTATAAACCTTATTCTCTACAATGGATCACCACCACTGGGGTTTCAGGTAAGTGACAGGTAAACACAGGTAAGTGACAGCAAGGGGTCCCAGCGGATTTTCCAAGCAGAGTTATAGACTTTACTAAACTACTAATACACAAATATAGAGGTACACAAAATATAAGGCACAATGTTACACAATATAAAAATAAAATGTCAAAACTTGTACATATTTACATTAGGGCTGAGCGCAGCCCTGGTCCTTCCCAGTCTCCCACCACCTGGCTGCTGGCTGCTTTGAAACTTTTGAAACATTTTGACTCGCCTCCTCATTTTGTTCTGAGGCTGTTTCAAAGCCCTTTGTTTTGATTCGATTTCGCTGTTTTGAGCTCAAAATGAGTTGAAACAGTGTCAAATCAAAACAGCCGGTGAAATTTTGCACAGCCCTAATGTACATCTCTATAAATAAAATGCACAATTCTTATGTGATACTATATCTTAAGGATCTATGCTACCTCAAAAGGGCATCAAGCCCTGCATGGGTAAATGGCTGGCCCAAAACTGATAAACATAGGGAGATACAGGAGGACAACAAATAAGTACAGGTATGTGCAGGTAAGTATAGGGGAACAATCACTAAATGCAAATAGCAAATGCAAATAGAGTCCAGCACTAAATGCAATCACTAAATGCAAATAGGGTCCAGCAGAGGCCCAGCAAAGATCTTATAACTATAAATTTACAAGTATAATAATGTACGAAATATGAGGTGCAGCACTATCAGGTATCCATAACCCTTCAGTGCTTTCCCAGGCCCCAACAAGATCTCTAGGGACATCCCCTCAGAGCACCCCTTGACCTAAGGAAGCCTTCCCTTGTCTGGGCTTCCCTTCAGCCTTACCACCTGGGAAACTCCCCCTCCCCTGTGAGAATCCCCTTCCCCGGGCAATTCACGATTCCACGGGTCGCAGGTGGGGGGGTCTTTGCTCGCAGACATGTTGCTCCTATCTGGCAGGAGCCTCCTGGGCTCTTGCTTGTCCATGGCCCTGTGCACCAAGAGCTCAACCTTTTGTCCAGGGTCGGAGGCTCAGGCCACCTTATGCGACACCAGGGCTCAGTCCTCCACTTGGGGACTAGCGGTGCACTAGGGCTGTACAAAGCTTCAGGTGTTGATTCGATTTGGAGGAGATTTGGCCTGATTCGGTGGCTGAATCTCCAAATCCAAAATGAATCAGGGGACCAATAAAAAGGTCTGAATTGATTCTAAGCTCTCCAAATAGATTTAATTTGCAAAGATTTGGAGAAAGATTAAGAGATTCAGTGATTTGGGCAGTCCCCACTCGCTGCCGCAGGGAGCTGGACACGGGCTCCGTGCCTGTAAATAGGGGGCTGGAAGAGGGTGGAGGGGACCATGGGGGGACTCCTGCCAGGCCCCATCCCCTGACTGCTCCCCCAGCCCTCCAGACACACAGCTGCTCCCCCAGCCACCACATGGCTGCCCTGCCTGCCCCAGCTCCCGGTGCTTTAAAAAAAAGCTCCTACTCAATGGGTGCTGCCCTGCAGGGGGGCGATTCGCGCTGCCTCCGACTACCCCATGCTTCATGAGGGGCTCTTCTATGAGCCCCATGACCCTCCCCTGCTCCCCTGGCGCCCCCCCTGGGGCCAGAGCTGGGGCAGGCAGGGCAGCCATGGGGGGGCCGGAGACAGCAGGGGAGGAGGGGGGCTTGTGATAGAGCCCTCTATGCAGCATGGGACAGTGGAGGGCAGTGGGGAGTCAGGGCTTTTTTTTTTTCAAAGTGCCAGGAGCTGGGGGGGGGGGGCCAGCGCTGCCTGGAGCTGGGGCAGACAAGGCAGCCATTGCCAGGCTGGGAGAGGAGCAGGGGATGGGCCTGTGTGATTCAGAGATTTGGCAGCAGCTGAATCTCCAAATCAGATTTAGGCAAATTGATTTGGGATAGTGATTTGAATCATCACATTGAATCACTGTCCCCCAAATTGGCTGAATCCGAAACGAATACTAGCTGCTTCACACAGGTCTACTGTGCACCGCTCATGTGAGATCCTGGCCACGTGTCAGGAGTGATGGACCTGAGCTGCCTCGAATGGCCCCCAGAGTCTTGGTCCCTGCTTGGGACCCGCTGTGCAGCACTGCCTGCACCAGGCCCTGGCCGCATGCTAGGAGTTGGAGACCTGAGCCACCTCACGTGGCTCCCAGGCCTGGGCTCCATGCACCAGCCCATGCGCTGCACTCCTGGCTGCTTGCCAGGGGTTGCACCCCAAGCTGCCTCAAGCAGCTGCTAGGGTCTGGGCTCTGTGCACTGGGCCATGCACTGTCTGGAGCTGGCGCCAATCGCCGAGTCTCTCCGGTGAAGGGAGTCTTTGGGGCTCCTTCAGGGCAACTGGAAATGACTGCTGGGAAGCTCTTCTTAGCCCTGCTTGCTTCTTTGTCCCTCGATGCATCTGCCATGTGCTGGGCACGCTGGTCCTTTTATTCTCTCCGGGGGCTCTGCCCCTGAAGCCTGTCAGACCTGAAAAGCACAGTTCACAATCAGGTTCAGACTCTCGGGCAGACTCCTCCCCATCCCTTCCTGATTGGTGGAAATGCTCCAATGGAGATTTCTCGAGCCTGATGCACTGGGCTCTGTTGGCAAGTCTGCCACAGAAGAAAAAAATAGTATTTTAAATGAAAAAGGTTTTGCCACAGGGAAATGTAAAATAATCCATTGTGGAATGTATTTTGTGTTCTTAAAATGTTAATTTGCACATTATGTCATTACATCTCATTGACAGTAGAACAGAATATGATGTGAGAAACCATGTCAAGTCAGGTCATGTCCTATAAGGTCATGATGTCATGTTATGAGGTACTATAATAGTCAAAATATTCCATTAGCTTATTGTCTTTTATTTTAAAAAATGTTAAAAGCAGGAACCACTTGATATAGAAAGATATTTTATAGATCTAGGGGTCTCACTGAACCAATCTGACTCTGTTTTAGAGGGTAAGACAAACCCTCAGTGTACTAATTAAGTAGAGCAGCTATTTTCAGTATGCTTACTTACAGTAGCAAGAAATAATTTTTCCAGGATATTGAAGTAAGCACATCAAGGCTGGAATTCTGTTTCCCTTTGCATTTCTAAGCAGCAGGGTTTTTTTTAGCCATATAAGGGCCAAAAATACTACTGGGGCATAGGTAACAATCCTATTTCCCCAGTAGTGTGGACACTTAAGCGTATGTGCACAGAGTGAGCATGCACTGGCCAGGTCGGTAAACAGCTATGTATGTGTGCTCCTTGTGGATGCACACACGCATCTGTGGGCTCTTCCCATGTTTTAGCTCTAGTGGCTGAGTGTTCACAGTCCTTAGGCAGGAAGCCAGAGACATGGGTTCCAGAGGGACTTTGAACCTATATGTCTGACTTTCCATCACAGCAGTCTAACTACCACACCAAGGGTCAAATATTATCCAGAGCCTTTTCCAGCACTCTTTTTGAAGCTGGCCTCCCAGGGCAGCTTAGAGACAGATACATACAGCCAGGGGCCATATGGCTCAGTGAAATGGATGCTGCCCTGCAGGAGGAAGGGTTTCTGGGTTATAGTCTGCTCCCAATGGGGCAGAGACTTTCCCCACTG